TGTGACGTCAGGCTGTTCACACGCATTATCCATCAGGTGACGCAGACGCAGAGGGCGGTGTGACGTCAGGCTGTTCACACCCATTATCCATCAGGTGACGCAGATGCAGAGGGCGGTGTGACGTCAGGCTGTTCACACGCATCCATCAGGTGACGCAGATGCAGAGGGCGGTGTGACGTCAGGCTGTTCACACGCATCCATCAGGTGACGCAGGAGCGGAAGGGGAGCCAGTGAAAGGGGTCTCAGTAGGCGGGAGAAGAAAAGCAGGAGTACAGGGCTAGGAAAGAAAACAGGAGCCCAAGAGGCCAGAGAGAGCCATCGTTAGTAACAAATAACAGTTTCTGGACTAGTAATTTTAACATCATACGAATGTCAGATGTAAAATATGAAGGTAAATATGTGGGGTGTAGTGTTCAGTAATACAAACTGTCACGCTAGCAGCAATATAGATGACGCTTGGATTATTTCCTTCTCCTTAACGCTGTTTTGTTATTTTTGAGTAAAACTAATTATTTTTAAATTTTTTTAGGATGGGCGGGTTGGTTCACGCCTGTAATCCTCACACTCTGGGAGGCCAAAGCAAGTGGATTGCTTGAGCTAAGGAATTCAAGACCAGCCTAAGCAAGAGCAAGAACTCATCTCTACTGAAAACAGAAAAACTAGTGGAAAAACTAGTGGGGTGTGGTGATGGGCACTTGTAGTCCCAGCTACTTGGGAGGCTGAGGCAAGAGAATCGCCTAAGTCCAGGAGTTGGAGGTTGCTGTGAGCTGTCATGCCATGGTGCTCAACATAGGGCAATAAAGTGAGACTCTGTCTCTAAAAAAAGAGTTTGAGGTTGCTCTGAGCTGTGATACCATTGCACTCAACCCAGGGCAATAGAGTGAGATACACTCTCAAAAAAAATTTTTTTTAATGAAGTTACCATAGCCTTATACACAAAGCAGAAAATTGTCCAAAAATCCTAAGGAATTTAACTTTCTTTTACTACCTGAAATTCAACCTTTTAACATAGTTAAAGAACTTGAATTGATCTTATGAAGGACAAAAAAACAGAAAGACTCCTATAGGGTGCTAAGAGTTTCCCAAAGTTTAAACACTCTATCATTTAAAATTACTGATAGGAAGCAGGGTGGACTCTGAAGCTCAGAGTCACCCAGTCCCTCCTGCAGCACATGTTAAGTGTCCAGACCAGCTCCTGGGCTTGTCCACGACACACACTGCTTTTTCTTCCCTGTAATATTGCATTACCAAGACTTACATTCCATTGTTTTATGCTTTGAAAGGCACTTTCATTTATAGAAGCTGTCAATATGTTTGTAGCTCAATGTATACTTGAAGTATTTTTTATTTATATAAGCATATTTGATAGACTCCACCTGAAAAGGCCAATAAATTAGGAAATATTAAAATAAAGAGAACAGCAGGTTTCCTCCTGGCTGTTTTTGTCCATCCACTAAAAATCACAAGTGTTTGACAGATGGAGAGTCCATGCCAAGGCTTTATTTTGAAATTCTGTCCCGGATGCCACTCCACAGCAGACAACTCACCTTCCTTCATACTTGAAGGGAAAAATCCTTAGAAGTTCACCACTTGGAGGTTGTTATTTTTAACATAAGCTTTTGTTCTTCTATAAGAAGTATCTCTCTGGGCCCTGCGCCTGTGGCTCAAGCAGCTAAGGCGCCAGCCACGTACACCTAAGGTGGCGGGTTTGAATCCAGCCCAGGCCCACCAAACAATGACGGCTACAACCAAAAAGTAGCTGGGCGTTGTGGTGGGTGCCTGTGGTCCCAGCTACTTGGGAGGCAGAGGCAGGAGACTCGCTTGAGCCCAAGAGTTGGAAGTTGCTGTGAGCTGTGATACCACAGCACTCTACCCAGGGTGACAGCTTGAGGCTCTGTCTCAAAAAAAAAAAAAAAAAAAAAAGAAGTATCTCTCTGGATCCAAATCACAGAACTATCAATGAATGTTACTTCCACTGTATAATAATTTAAACGTCACCTATAGATTGAAATTTGGCATGATGCACTGACAGTTTAGAATCATTCTTCACCAGTCCCTGTGCTTATAGTTGATTCAAATGTTTGGCATCAGTAGACTGTAAGACTTGAAATAATCCATGACTGTAACTTTCACGCTGGGATCACAAAATTACATTTCTGGGGTGATCTTTTAAACAGTCTGTTTTTAATTTCTATCTTCAAGAGCTACTTTCTTCTTGGTATTCTGACTACTGACCTTTTTAGTTTATCCTTAGCTTTTTCCAAGAAATATTTTGGAGTCGCACTAATGCTCTCCCTTTCCACTGGCTTCTTAATCATCTTTTTCTTTCTTTGCTTAGTAGTTTTTGGAATCCCTTTATGTATTCTGGGGCAGGACAGCCTGCCTGTTGTAACACTGGCGATACTTCTTAATAATGGTTTATCATCTTCGGTGGAAAACGTAATAGCTTTTCCCTTATGCCCTGCTCTTCCAGTTCGACCTGTCCTGTAGATATATTCCACTGAGCTGGTTGGGAAGTCATAGTTGATCACCAAGTTCACATCTTTAAAATCAATCCCTCTTGCTAGCAAAGCTGTACAAATAAGAACCCAGATTTTTCCTGCTCTGAAGCTGTGGACTGTGTTATCTCTCTGTTGCTGTGTTCTCTCTGCATGAATAACATCCACATTAATACCTTCATATATGAGTTCATGAAAAAGTCCTTTGGCTCTTTCCATGGACTGGCCAAAAACAAGAACAGGTGGATTGAAACCCTTTTTAACAAGTTCTCTCACGGCCAGAAGTTTTCCAGTCTCAGACCCAACAAAGAGAAGCTCTTGTTCTACAGTTTCTACTGCAGAATTCCTTGCTCCAATGGATACAGTAATGACATTGTCCAGGTTGAGTTTGCACCACTGTTCAACATCATAGGCAAAAGTTGCACTGAACATAGCTCTTCTGACCTTGGGAGATGTGCAGGCCAGAAAAACGGAAGCCAGCTGGTCTCTGAACCCAGTTTTGCCATCTGCAAATAGTTTGTCTGACTCATCTACTACCAGCCATTCAACACTCATTAGGTCTATTCCTGGTGGATCTTGCTTTAGTAAATAAATCAGTTGATTTGGAGTAGTCACAAGAATATCAAACTTTTTAGATGATTTAGGTCCAGATTTCTTGGCTGCAACTGCCACTTTGTAGATCATGTGTATCATGAATCCTGCTCCCTCAGAGATTTTTATTAACTCTCGGTGAAACTGGCTGGCAAGTTCTCATGTCGGTGATCTAATCAGGGCTCTGAAGCCTTTATTTGCAGGTTGTTTTAGCTGCATTAAAATAGGAATACTGAAAGCCAAAGTTTTCCCAGATCCAGTAGGAGTAGAAGCCAGAAGTTCCCGACCATGCAACATAACTGGAATAGCTGCATTTGGATTGGCGGAGGCGTTTGGAAGCCTGAATCTACAATATTTTGAAGCAGCTGAGAATTAATTTTATATTCCTAATCAAGTTGCTGAAATTTAGTAATTGGGTCTGGAAGATCAGTTCCTTGAATGTGAATTTTGTGCTTATTCCGGAAGAAGTTTATCTTTTCCTTTCTGAGATGCTCCAATTTTTCTGAAGTTAGTGTATTTTCTCCCTCCATTTTTTTCTCTTCAATCTTTGCATCCACAGATGACATCTACTGTATAGTGGTACCTTCTCCTTCAGAACTAATTTCTGATGTTACCTTCTCCCTCTGTCCTCTTCTGCTCCCTCTTTCTCTCAGTCAGACTCTCTTCTTTTTTTCTCTTCATTTTGGAGCTCCTGGTGTGTTTGTGACACTCCACACTCACCTGAGAAAGACTTCTTGTTTCCAGTAACGTCCAGTCCCTGCAGCACCTCTGAAGAATCAAAGTCGTACTTCCTTTTTTCCTTTCTGGAATCTGGCTGCATCTGCCGAGAAGCGTCTCACGTCAAATTTGGCCCCGGTTCCGAGCCGGCGAAAGAGATCTTGGATGTCCATCTTTTACCCAGAATTGACCTGAAGTATTTTAAGTCGATTCCTACTCTTAATTTAGGAGCTAAATATGCTACATTTTCAATTATTAAAATATTAATAACACCTTGAAAATTTTGTTGTTTTTAAAGAATAGATTCATAGCATCACAAAGGCATGAGGCATCTTCTTCAGGATACAGGTTCACAGATCCTCTAATTAGAAGATAGAGGATTTGATTATAGATAAAGAGAATTGTACATATGTGGTACCTAATTACCCATTCAAATTTTCAGTTATTTGTTGCATCATTACTCGAAAAGTTATCATTCATTCATAATAAGGTGTTTGTTTTCCCTGTATGCTTTCCAGACCTCTTCTCCACCCCCCACCCCTCTTGGGCTTCACTCCAGGTGTGGACAACACTGTGTCCTGCCCTCAGACAGACGCTGAAGCTGGACAGTGACCGTGCTGGGGAGAGTCTGCTGAGAGCTCAAGGCCTTCTGCCTGCGTTGGAGGTAGCACGAAGCCACTCTCCCCCCAGCAGTTCCTGTTCAAATAACCCTCTGACATGTGGCGTTGAATCTGCTGCCCTCAACCCACCCAGCCAGGCAGGGTGAGGCCTCCGTCAGAACCAAGACAACAATATAAGAAAAAATTTAATGTGACTTCTTCAGCCCAATAAAATTTGTGGGTAAGGTTCATGCCTGCTACCTTCATGTATAATCAGATATAAACAGAGTATAAATTGTGCTACTTAGAGAAAACAGCAAAACAAAGCTCTTCTAAGGGCCCTCTAATAATTGCTCTTCAGAAGCGAGAGTGTGTGTGGGACGGACTGGATTTCTATGCCAAGCAGAGAAGTAAGTGAAACCAGGAAAGCAAATTGCATAAGTTGCAATACTAGTTTTGTGGCTTAGCTGGCAAATGTCCTATATCAAGAATGGATAACGAGTTTAGTTTTTCAACTGCCCCAATATAGTTTCCATTATTCATGTAAAGAAGAGTCAGTGCAATTGATTTGTCTTGCAAACTTTTGTCAGCAAGTTTACCACTGTCTAAAAAATGTCACCAGCTATAGTAAAGATACTAGAAGCACAAGCCACAATGAAACTTGTATTGAATTGATCCTTACTGTTAGAATTCTAAGAAAAATACTGTATTTATGATGCTATGTCAATGTTATAATCACTATTCAGTTCTCTTTAGTAAAACACCAGAAGAATGGAAAAGCAAGTATCCAGTGTACTCCATACTGCTATGAAGCCGTAGATGATCTCATACATGCCCACACAGGAGAAAAATCTCAATTCAATTCAATTTGGGGGAGAGAAGAGAGGGGAGGAGGAGAGGGAAGAAAAGGGAGGGGAGAGGAAAGGGAGAAAGGGAATGGGTGTGCTCCCACCTGGTAAGCACAACGTAAGGGTATATGGCACACCTCCTGGGTGGGGGGGCACATGACTTACAGCAGGGACCTTACCTACAAACAAACATTATAACCTAATGGTTTGTATCCTCATATAAATCTGAAATAAAATGAAATAAAAAATAAAACATGCTCTGAATATACGACATACCTGATTTTTAAAAATCACTATTCAGTAATAAAAGAGTAATTTCTAAATTTAGAAAAATTAGCTGGATGGCTCCACTCCAGTAGCTCAGTGGCTAGGGCACCAGCCACATACACCAGAGCTGGCAGGTTCGAACTCAGCCCAGGCCCTCCAAACAACAATGACAACTACAACCAAAAAATGGCCAGGCATTGTTGTGGGTACCTGTAGTCCCAGCTACTTGAGAGGCTGAGGCAGGAGAATCATTTGGGCCCAGGAGTTTGAGGTTGCTGTGAGCTGTGACCCCACAGCACTCTACTGAAGGCAACATAGTAAGACTCTGCCTCAAAAGAGAAAAAAAAAAGGAAAAAGAAAAATTTGCTGGGTGTTGTGGTAGGTGCCTGTAGTCCCAGCTACTTGGGAAACTGAGGTAAGAGGATCACTGGAGCCCAGGAGTTTGAGGTTGCTGTGAGCTAGGCTAGGCCATGGCACTTCTACCCAGGGTGACAGAGTGAGACTCTTATCTCAAAAAACAAATAAATAAGAGTAATTTGAAATTAGAAAGTTTCTTCTTCAAACTGAACACAGTTCAAAAGAATTGAGGAGAAACTGTTTAAGACTTAAATTATTTGAGCATCCTTGTTTTTAACTCCACAAGATTAAACATCTCAGTGTGAGAGAATGTGGTCTGACGACACAAATGTAGATTACACTTGCTGGAGTCTTGTTTGAGGAATTAAATTTAACTGTGTTGATTGAAAATAACCCACTCGTGGAAGAAAAATCTGTTGGGCACCTACTAAGTGTCAGTAGATAGAAGAATAAATAGATGTGGTTGCTGCCTTCTTGAAGATGAATAAAATAGCAAATACTTATTGATTACTCTATGTTGTTCATTGTAATATTAACCAATTGTAATTTTTTTTTTTTTGAGACAGAGCCTCAAGCTGTCACCCTGGGTAGAGTGCCGTGGCTTCACAGCTCACAGCAACCTCCAACTCCTAGGCTCAAGCGAGTCTCCTGCCTCAGCCTCCCAAGTAGCTGGGACCACAGGCGCCCCCCCCACAATGCCCGCTATTTTTTGGTTGCAGCCGTCATTGTTGTTTGGCAGGCCTGGGCTGGATTCGAACCCGCAACCTTAGATGTACGTGGCTGGCGCCTTAGCTGATTGAGCCACAGGCGCCGAGCCTAACCAATTGTAATATTAACCAATGTTTATGGAGTCAAAACTCACCTAAGTGACTTACATATGTTAACTCATTTAATCCTCACAATAAATCTATAATGTTGTACAATTATTTTTGTTTACAAAGGCATAGACGGGGCAATCTGTCCAAGGTTCCACTGAGTAAGTGGAGACCTCAGGATTCAACCCAAGGAGTCTTTGTGTCCTATACCACTTCTTAACTGTTATAGAAATATTTAATTCCCACTGTAAACTTCACAATACTCTTATTGTCTCATTTTTTTCTTTTTTGAGATAGGGTCTCACTTTGTCACCCAGGCTGGGGTGCAGTAGCATGATGATAGCTCATTGCGGCCTCCAACTCCTGACCTCAAGCCATCCTCCTGCCTCCAGCTCCCAAGTAGCTGGGATAATAGGCACACACCATCACTGTCAGCTAGAATGTTTTTTAGAGATAGAGTCTTGCTGAGTTGCCGAGGTTGCTCTCAAACTTTTGGCCTCTGGCAATCCTCCTGCCTCCACCTCCCAAACTACTGGGATTACAGGTGTGAGCCACTGCACATGGCCACTCTCAATTTTATAGAAGAGGAAAATGAGGCATAGAGAGATGGAGAAACTCAAAAGTGAACTGACAATGACTCTACCCACTACACTGCTTACCTGGGAAAACAGATGATTAAACAAGTGTCAACCAGGCTCCAGGCTCCACATTTAAACTAAGACCCCATTTGATCTTGGAATAAAGTGTTTATCTTCAAACCAAACACCACCCCTCTGAAACAGTCATATCTGAAAAGATAATGTGCTCAAGCACAGCTTCCTGCAATGACCACTATGTACCCTGTCCAAGAATCATGTCAGGGCTCATCCAGCCCTGGCACTAGCTTTTCTTCTTCTTTTTGTTTTAAAGACAGAGTCTCACTTTGTCGCCCTTGGTAGAGTGCCATGGCGTCCTAGCACACAGCAACCTCAACTCTTGGACTTAAGCGATCTCTTGCCTCAACCTCCCATGTAGCTGGGACCACAGATGCCCACCACAACACCCGACTATTTTTTTAGAGGCGGGGGTCTCGCTCTGGCTCATGCCCGTCTCAAACCTCATCTCCAGCACTGTGTCTTTAACCTCCAGGCAATAATTTTGAGCCAGTTGTGGTTCACAGTTCAGCTAAAAACTGGTATTTGTATACAATTCATGATTCATTGTTATTTGCTATACATTTGATTTGTGCTTCAAATTAGCTCAAGTCCATGGCCTGGAGTAAATTTCTTAATCTTTTGGCAATTCCAATTCTTTTTTTTTTTTTGAGACAGAGCCTCAAGCTGTCCCCCTGGGTAGAGTGCCATGGCATTACAGCTCACAGCAACCTCCAACTCCTTGGCTTAA